GAGCAAGTGATGGCAAAGACTGCCTGGAATGACACCCACAGGACAACCACTATGTGCTTTGGTCCATGATGTTCAACAAAGATATTTCACTATGACAGGTTTGCTCAGAAAACAGAGGAAGGGACAGGGCTGGGGAGCAGTCACACATCCAAATGTTGGGGACTCTCTCCTTTTTAGTTGGGTCACATATTTGTTAAGATAACATAGAAGCCAACACAGAACAAAAGTAAGCTCTTTCTTGTGTGCATTGTGCTTAGCACCAGGGATCTGGGCTCGGGGGTTAGAGGAGCACCATGGCCTGCCTATGGGGAGGACTCTGCTAGGTGTACAACAGTGATCCCCGAGGAAGCTGAGCCTGCACCTATTCCCAGCCCCCTAATAGCTAGGTGTTCAAATGCTTTTATTCACCTTTCTTGGGTTAAGTTTAAAATGTTCTTCTAGTAGCTGAAGTTACAGGAGAGCGGATAATTGCCACCTTAAGTTATTCACAGAAATAAATAAGAGGTGGGTATGTCAGCACATATCTGTAATCACTACTCAGGAGTTACAAAGATCAGACGTTCAAGGCCAATCTTAGCTACACAGTGTGTTCAAGGCCAGCCTGGACTACAAGAGACCCTGTTTTAAAAGTAAAAACAGATGGTGTCTAACTTAAAGATAACCCAGACATTCAACTGCTCTCAACACTCACCATGCCTCCTCAGCTTCCTAAAATAATAAGGTTTAGACAGAAACCAAGGCCATGGGAGGAAATGAAGATAGACAGGAGGTCTGCAAAGGGCAGATGAAGGGAAAGCTGTTGTGGAATATTCAACTATGCAAAGATGCATTTGTTTAATTATGTAAACATGTTACTGTTTTACCTTGCCTGCCTAATGCACCTGATTGGTCTAATAAAAAGCTGAACAGCCATTAGTGTCGGAGGGGGTACAGGCAGAACTTCTGAGCAGGGAGAGTAAGAAGAAGAATTTAGGCTTGAAGAGAGAAAAAGAGACACCAGGGGCCGGCCAGCCACTGGGGAAGCAGGAAAGTGGGACACAGAATGAAAGAAAGGTCAAAAGCCTCAAGGCAAAACGTTAAATTAAGATTAAAAGAGCTAGGGGAACAAGCCTAAACTAAGGCTGAGCATTTATAATGGATAGGAAGTCTCTGTGTCTTTAATTGGGAGCTAGCTGAAGGCCCAAAGAAAATTCCAACTATAAAAGGCAAGGCAAGGGAACAGTCTGAGGTTCGATGTGTTGTCAAAGTTTTTCCCACAGCGATAGGGATAAACTTCTCTGGCTGAACCACGGCACATCTGACACCCAACACTACATGCATGTCCTTGATTTGCCTTGTGCTGATTTCAAACTCTTGAATTTAATTTTTAAACATCTCTTATGGCACCAATTAAGACTCTAACTCTTTGAGACAAATGGCATCGTGTGCCTGGCCCCCATTCCCTACTCTCCCGGTTAGAATGCTCTCAATGAATCCATCTTATATAATGTCCCCGATTTTTGGATGCCCTTAGGATATGCACTCTATATGAACACTCAACATGTTTATAGAGGAAATCTAATGGCTCAGAGCCCAGCCACTGTTAACACATTCTTTTTACTTTTGCAGGTCTGCACTCTAATGGGACCGACTGCTTAGATTTACAGAAGCATCGATTTCTTTCATAGGATTTTTTTTTTTAAAACAGTAAGTGAACTCTTTGGAGTTTGCGTTGCACACTACAAAGCTGTTCTGGACCTGGGAACAAACCCAGGCTCTGGGTAATAAACCTTAACCTCTCCACAAACTCCCACCCCCATTTGGAGCACCGGCACTAGAAGCTGAATTTGAGATTCCACATTCTTATCTACAATGCCAGGCTGTAAATTAAAATCAAGTTCGGGGTTTCTTAGTGGAGCAGACAGGGGCGGATCCTAAGGTGGCTAGCAAACCTAGAAGGCAGAATTTCCCTTTTCAGCTTCCCTTTCCAAAGTCAAGCCGAGGTGACGGAAATGCATTTATTTGTACGTGAGCCGAGCCACGCACTGCCGAAAATCCGCACTTAAAGACGGGTTCCTTGGAGCAAGGGCACAGACCACGCAGGGTGTTGAGTTCACCTCGTGGTCCAGGTGTGTGCACCAGTGTGTTCCTAAGACTGCGGCTTTGTTCTCGTGAAGGCAGGAGCCGGAACTGCACGCTAGGGCGGCAGCGTTTC